CCGCTGCACATCTTTGGCAATGTCAAATAAACACAGGGAACGAAATATCTTTGGCCGATTTTCTCCTCTTGGCTCATTTGAATCGATTCGAACCGGTCATGGCTCGTTTGGATGGGATCGCCCCTAAGGATGTACGTGATGTAAAACCGAAAGACAAAAATTATGAGAAATGGCCGCGGTTGGGTGCGTTTCTTGAAACGATGCGCCGGCAGCCGTTTGTAGAATCTGTCCGTGTGCCAGTACACACCCAAGCCAAGTATGCGCAGACTCTCCGACAGGGTCTTCCAAATCCGGATCTACAGGACTGATACTGTTTTCTCGTGATGACTCACGTTTATTTCCATCTATGCATGTTTTCAGTTTCCGTTCAACCTATTTCTTTTTTGTTGGATGCTTCATATTTATCTACGTTGTTTTGACTTTCACTCTTCGAACTGCCAATACTGCCAATACTTGTGATTTATCAAGCTTGTGTCCATACTTCTACCCCACCATGATGCAATCGACAGTGTGAAGTGAACCCGGTTGCTTTATTCTTCGATTTCGATTTTCATTATCTTTGCACAAACGTTGCTTCCTAAACAAAGCTGATTGATAATTTCGGTATGTTCTCCGGGCTGAAAGTGTTGTTCACAGACGTCACAAACATTATCATCAGTGCAAACAACCTACGCATCCCGAGCTACACATTATTTCCAAAGCTGATTGATTTTTGGTGTCAAGGGGTTCCAGTTGCTCTCATCGACATCCTCTCTGTCCCAGGGTTCAAAATCTGAACCCTTCCACTGTCACCCAGTTTTATTATTAGGTAACTTTACTGTCGTTCGGATCGATACCAAGTCTGCTGTCTTCTGTGGTTTCCCACTCCAATTTCTAGGGCATAATTTGTATTGTGCACAAATTTTGCTAGCACTGGGGCTTACATTTCAGTTAAAAAAACACGCCAACCGTTACAATGTACATAATAAACTGGGAAAATTTTTTTACCGATATGGGGACATTTCATAAACCAAGGTTAAGCCACAGTTCACTTATTGTCCGCTCTTTGTTTATGAGTAGACAAGCAAGATACGGTATGGGTGAATTGCCGTAATCGTTAATGCGAGGTGACATGTGGCGGAATTAGGAGCGTGTGGAATGATGGAAACGACAACGTGTCAGTTCTGCGTGCAATGGGTGGTCAGGATCTGGGAGAATCCTCTCCTCATATTTCACACAGGAAGTTATATGATAATGTGAAAGCCAACTCATTTACATGAATAGAAAAGACCCGGCTAATATTAGTTAGACCGCGGCATAAGACTTTGAAATCCTGTTTGAGTATGAAGGAAAAATAACTGAGGAACAGTAGAGTAGGATGAGGAAAACACCCTGATAAACAAAGGTAGAAATAACAGACTGGGATGCGCCAAAATGCCTGAGCTTTCGAATTTGAAATGATAGGTGCATCAGTTTACGAATGCAGTTATGGATGTGGGTTGATCTATGAAGATTGTTATCTGTGGTTACACAAAGACGTTTGACAAAGTTCACCCCAGGTAAAGGATTGTTACTAATCATTGTGTGGTCTGTCGGATAAGGAGAGCAAGCAAAACTATGTAAACACTCAAAACATTTACCGGGGTTTAAGGTTAGCCGCTATGAGGAGGAGGATGACTAAATCTGATCAAGATTGTCAGTGGAGGTTAGATCGAAGTAAGAAGAAATGGATTGGCACGGCGCAAAGTCACCTGCACATTTCAAAATACGAGCAGGATAAACAGGGAATATGACAAATATAAGTGGAAGATAAGTATGGGGATAGCACCGCTCCTTGGAGAACTCCGAAGTTCTCCTGAATCTAGTGGTTTTTACTCTATCAGTAAAGTGGTTGGATAGCCAAGTTAACAATTGCTTGGGGCATTCAAACGATTACAGTTTTTGTAACAACTTTGGTCGAGAAAGGGAATCAAATGAGGAAGAGTAGTCCAGAAAAAACACCGAACAGACTTAACAGAGTTGTTCAAATACTTAATGATAAAGTGACTAAGGATGAAGACTGCGTCCTAGGTGGATCTATTAGACTCGTAAACAAATTGTAAAGGATCACTGGGAATGTTTTTAGACTGCTGAAGGCTTTTGAGGATAGCCTTTTCAGTCACCTTAAGAGCTGAAGATGTTAACGCTATGCGACAAAAACGTTTGGAGAGGATAGCAGATTTGAATGTTTTGGGCATTGGTGTGATTTTGACCGGGATAGTAGGAGTGTTAAGAGACACATTTAAAATGGAGGTGATTTCCTCAGCTAGGGAATTAGCACGCAATTCGAAGAGGACCGAATTTATATCATCCGGGCCTGCAGTAGAAGATAAATTGCAATTATTTAAAGTTTTACCGCGTCAGAATATGAGAATATTACACATTACAAATATTATGTGGCTAGTAGACAGGAAGAATGTCCGATGGCTGGAGCAGGAGTGCAGCATCGAGATCATCAACGTCTACATACAGCTTCGATCGTTCTTTCTTCCACAGAGAAGTCTTATACCACAGGTGTTTGCTGTTTCCAGTCCCCAGAATTCGATCGGAGAATAACGCGTTCAATCTGTTTTCTTCAGCTTTGATAAGCCTGGACAAATACCTGACAGCTGAAGCGTTGTGAGACTTGTACGCACGTTCCTTTTGTCGTCGCAGCGACTTTAGTAGGGGAGAGTTTATCCTTCCGTTGGACACAGACTTTGAACAGGACAGCAGTAATTGAAAATGGCATTGATTGTTTGGGTGAATAGGGGACACACGTGAATAGAGAACAAGGAGATGACGAAAACCATAGAGGCCTGTCTGAAAGGTTCATTGAGGAGAGGAACACTTGTAGGTGAGAAGTTTCGAAAACGAAATCTGATGTGGTCAGATCCAGAGAAAGATGTGTATGCACAGTGTGAATACACATTAGGTCGAACTAAGAGTAAACAGTGGTCGCTGGATGAAATAGGTGCTTTTAGTACTAAGGAAAATAGGGTTGGGTAGTTGGTGATTACTGTCTAGTATAGAATTGTGGGAGAGTGACAAAAATCTGTCATACCTAATGATAAAAGTGGATAAGTACTAGTATGGTTAAGGTCACCAACGATTATGTGCAAGTTAACATCCAAAAGTTGCCAATAAAACGTATGAACGAGTCGAAAAATGACATACGATCTGATTATATATAGTAAGGTGCTATATACAAGTTAGTCAAAATTGTGTGCATAAAACAAACAAATCTAGGGTGACAGTGTGCAGTTAGGCACTCATTACTTTTCGAGCAGTACTGAGAAATAGTATGGGACTTACCACACCAGGGAATGTTGACATATGTCACAGCACCCCTCCAATCTTTTTCTCCGTTTCCACGATCCTGTCGGTAAACTTAAAAACCATTATCGACACTAAGGAGTCATCTAAATCCTTATTCATTCAGGATTTTTATACTCAGACTGCATACGTGTTTATATGATTTCTTGATCAGAGGACACTAGTTGAATCCGAAACAGAGATCGAGTGTTAGTGCTGACCAATGAGGGGACAGTCATCTTTGACAGAGGGGTGCAATTGAGGGCAACTTACCATCCTTCACGCTTGCGTTTTTTGATCCAGCCTGGACAGTGAGAAACTGGAGTCGCACAAACCGCTGAACTATCAAAGCATGTTCTGGCACGTTTGAAGCAAATATCGTCCCGTGAGTAACAAAGACGCATAACAGTGAGTGAAAATGTGACGGAGTGTGTAAATGTAGCCCAGTCTTTCGAGGGGTGTGCGAAGCGTTCACTGGTAACATAGTAAAATTTCATTACCGAGTACTTGATATTGCCAAGCTAGTGAAGAAATCACTTCAGAGAATCGGAACCTAAAATGTGTCCGAGACATTCCATCTTCGAGGAATGGGTAGCCATGATAGAGAAAGAGTAACACATTCACATCGATCAGGATTATAATTGCGTTGGGTGGCATCTGCAACGTCGGCTCACGAAAAGCCTGAAACTCAGTCTCGGTTCATGCAAACATTAACCGCACTGCGGTTTCGGATGTTACCTTTTGGCTGTCCACTCGGACAACAGAGTGAAGGGATGTTTGAAATGTTAAAATACCGAATAGATGTAAAATGAGGTTGAAAGAAAGTTGTGTAGATACACGAGCGCCACTGTTAATGACCTCAAAATGTGTCTCCAACGCTCGGTTACACTGATCTATCCAACTAGAATAAAGCCAACTGTATGACCAAGTCCCCCGGTCAGGGTTTTCAGTTCCTCATCCCAGGCCTTAGTTTCATCACTGTGCACTTTATGCCCGCCCATTACCCTCCGCGACAAACATCGCACACCGTAACAATCTATTTGCTGACATGCGCAATACACGCCTCAGCCGATTCAATTGATGGCGTTCGAGCACTTGCTTCAATGGGCGACGGTACCTCACCCCAGTATTCATTTTCCAATTTCTTCATCAAACCCATGTTATGCGGCTTAGAAGCACTGGTCGAACTGCTGCAGCATAATCTCGACTCTTTACAAAGAACCAGATATCGCAACGGCGCCACACATGTCTTCAGTTGTCAGTCGAGCCTTCTGTATGCGTGTCGACACTTAATCTGTGATGCATCAAATAGGTGATAAAGCTGCCCTTATAGTAAAATGTCTACTTTCTCTACTGCTTCTCCAGATTGGGAGCTGAAGCAACTCAGTATTGTAACAAAATTTTACATTTTGAAGGTGAAAAACGCATGCGGAATATAGCCACACGAGCACGTAAACTATCCAAAAACGTTTTTTCGCTTGGATCTTCATCCAGTTTTACAATGCGTCTGCATACTCCAGATCAGACATTTGCCACCTGGATCGAATCGTTGTCGCTATCATCCGAAAGCCTCAGTATAGTCGGGGGCGGGTATCTCAAATTGTGGCTGGTCACCCCTCCCTTGCACCTCGCAAAGTGCTCCGATACAACCAAGCGTCACAAATAGCTTCTGCTGAGGAAGCCCTAATCACCGCGTTCTCGTGGCGGAGGTTTTTCCACTAAAGTGGGAGGACGGAAAGCCGAAATCCCAGGGCTCTAACCGATTCGGTGAACCACAGGCTGTTCACCTAGAGGAGTGGGCTAAAAACCCCGATTCCGAATCAAACAAGAAAAGGCATACAAATCACACACCTTCCCGGGTGTGGCAGTGGTCACTGGATCAGCTGGGCTCCTTGGACGTCTGACCCCGTCCAAAGGGTGTATGATCCGGATTGCGGTTTTCGGACATCGTCCCGCTGCCTTGCGGGTCAGGCTTTGGCTAGCTAAAGGCTCCGGT